CAATAAAGTAAAATTGACGTGTGATTGGAAATTATAATAAATCTTATAGTTTCAATGAGACGTATAGATGAGAATTGTTTCTTCAAAGACTGTAGAATATATTTCGTATCATTTATTAATAATAGGAAGTTTTTGCAATAATATGGATCCAGATATGGTGAACGCTAAAGTCATGTTAAGCCTGATTTATAATGGCCGTAACGGTTAACTTATGCCGGTGCCGGTAAAGTTCAACCATAGGATTTCAATGCTTTCGTTCATACTAATACGAAAGCATACATGAACGAAAGCATTGAAATCATATGGTTGAACTTTACCGGCACCGGCATAAGTTAACGGTTACCATTATAAATCAGGCTTTATCCTTTCCTGGTAAAAAATTAATCATGCATGGGCTGCATTCGGAAACATCATTCGGGTACCCCCGTGTATCATCTTATCCTTATTTAACATTGGGTGAACAACGAGGATAAAACGATACATGGAGGCACTCGAGTGATGTTTCCGAACGCAACCATGAATATAATGTGTATATATATATAGCATTTTCTGTGCTGGCAGTAAATTCTGGCTGTGTTCCAAATTTACTGCCAGCACAGAAAATGCTACAGTTTACGTTACGTGCACTATAGATTTTCAGTTTGCGGTCGAGTTGCCGCTACGAATGCTTCGAAGCATTTGATTAACCAATCAGAAGAAAGAATTTCACTCATTGATCGATAAAAAAATGTTTCGAAGCATTCATAGTGGCAACTCGACCGCACCTTATGTATGAATATACATAAACATGTATAAATACCCTGATGAAAAAATTTCACTGAAATTATTCCATGTTTTGGAACGTTTCAGCGAAATTACTGAAAATTTATTGAAATTCACTGAAAGTGAATTTTTCAGTTAACATACCGAAAAATCACTGAAATTAAACTGAAATTTCTCTGAAATTTTGCTGAAAATGAATTTTTTAGCTAAAAATCGCTGAAATTAAACTGAAATTTTTCTGAAATGCTGAAATTTTGTTGAAAAATATTTCAAAACGTGAAATAATAATTTCAGCAAAATTTTTCCACCACCATTCATAAACATACATAATTTTATATAAAATATGTCCATACATATATTCATACATCCTTCTTTCTTCTATAAAATTACTTTTTGGTGTAATAGAAATAATAATAGCAATGTGAAAACATTAAAAATAATTAAAAGGGTAATTTCCGCATTATTTGTTTTAGAAAACATGATCAAATTTGAAGAAATGTAAAAAAAATTACTTATGTATAATTATATATAAAATTATGCATAATTATGTATGAGCAATTTTTTTTACATTTTTCCAAATTTGTTTTTTTCTAAAACAAACAATGCGAAAATTATCCCTTTAATTATTTTTTATGTTTTCACATTACTATTATTATTTCTATTACACTAAAAAATAATTTTACAAAAGAAAAAGGGATGTATAAACATGTATCGACATATTTCATATATAATTATACATGTATATGAATATTTATATGTGTTTGTGTATGTTTAGACATATTCATGCATGAAAAATTTTTTACCGGGATTTCTTACACGTCGCATTCGATTCCGGCAGCCAATTTCATGCGATCGTAGCATTCAAGTGATCAACATACGCGTAATTGTGCTTAATTAACTATAATAAGTGCAACGGACCAACTCGAGAAAAGGAGGAGACTTGACTAGACATCGGCATCAAGCATTACAACATAATGACATATTCAGCAAAGAAAGCTTTGTATGTTATGAAATTCTTTATGATCGCTCTTGCCCTTACAAAGGAATGACGCGAGGTGTTTTTCCTCGATTGCTCTGAATTTTTGACAGTAGATTGGGCATCGAAAAAAATCGACATATTTTGCCGTTTGCTCAGACACTCAATAGTTTTAAAAGATATTAAGCAAAAATTCAGAGCAATCGAGGAAAAACACCTCGCGGTGATGAATTTATGAACGTGTGTGGAGTGATAAATATATTCATTCTTTACTATATCATTCAACGATGGGACTTCTTATAAAAGTTCAATGACATTCATATGTAAATAATGGAGCGTTTTTAGAAGGAATCAATCATTTACAGAACTGATATATCAGGATATTTTATGAACATTGTTTAAGACATAAAATTTTTTAATGAAGTAATAACTAGCTTTGTACAGAAGAAACACGCTTAATAAATAATTTTATTTTCCTACTTAAAGTTTTAATACACGTATTAAAAAATATAAATAATATTTTTTCATTTTAAGTAGTATTCTTTTTTCTCTTTTAGTTATTTTAAATATTTCTTGTTTGTGTGTTATTTAAAACATATACGTACATATACAGAGTGTCCGGAAATTAGCGCATCAAAATATCATAGCAAGATAGAGCGGACTAAAGTCTGAGTCGAAAAGTCCTCTTTACCATTTTGCAATTTTCGAAATAGTTAACGAGATATTAATTACTAAAAATCGCTGTGAATATTGGTTTTCAATAATTTTTTACTCAAATACTATCAACTTTACAGAAAAACAGTAAGAGACAAAAATTGTTTATTTTCTTCTCATAGAGCTCTAAGAATTTTTTAAGAATTTAGAGAAATTAGAAAATTGAGAAAATAGAGAAAATAGAAGAATTTAGAAAATAGAGAAAGGAAGAATCGAATAAATGTATGTGTGCATTGATTAAATTAATAATTTAATGCTTAAGATAAGTTGCTTTTAAAGCGACTTAATAAACATAATCTATAATCTCCTATAATTATCACGTTGCTGAGATGAAGATCCCGATGTCAGTGTCGAATAAATAAACGGCAAAACGGAAGCTAGTGCTAAACAGAGACCAACGACTGGTCGATACCACACCCAAGCGAAACCAATCACCAATAAACTGATAGACATAGAGACCGACATAGTCAGAGACTCGACTGCAATTATGCCGCAAAGGAACGTCGAATTTAGTATAACCGTCTTTAATATATTTGCTAAGCATGTTGCTGCCACAAACAAGACCAACCATCCGAGCCCTCTGTAATCAAAATAATGTCGTTTGACTATTAATGTTTTATGATATATATTGCATATGTATATATTCTTTTTGATAATAATATATAACAAATGTACAATAATTAAAAATTATGTTTAATTCAGCTCTTTTAATTTATCAATGACAAGTATTTATATTTATTTTTATCTAGAAATTACCTGACGGTCCAAGTTCGCCAATAATTATGCACATGTTCCAGATGGAACATCTGATCCACCGACATTTTATGCTTTCGTTGAAGCAAAATTTCTTCACCATGAGATGTGTAATATGGTTTGATGGTGTCTTTTTCCAACAAACCAATTACCGAGTAAACATTGCCGTTTTTTCCCGTGTAGGAAAATTGTATTCTGATGTCTCCCACCTATAAGCAAAGCAAGCTATATTAGAAATAGTTCTATTAGAGATAAATAAGAAAGAAATCAAAATAAAAGTTTTTAAGTACAATACAAATTGAATGGTGAATGTCTGACCACAGAAAAATTCCAACAGTTTTCTATGAATTTGATAGAATGGAACAATCTCTTTTCTGAAAGAAATTTTTGTAAATTTTGTCTGGAACTTTGTAATCATATAGATCTTAATCCTTAATTCCAAATGGAGTTCTAAATATTCCTAAATATTCCTTCTTTAAGAAAAAAAACTTCTTGCAGTGACATACTTGAGGATTCCACAAATCTGCACTGTGGTAATACAGTCCAGAGTGCATTTTAATGTTCTTTTGTTCTGGTCTCTCATCACTGGTGATCTCTACAAAATCGCTGAATTTTTTCTTCAATTCCATGCCAAGCGTATAAGCGCCAATCTTCACTTCGTCTGCGATCTGCACCTGACTCAAGATTGGCATTTCCTTTGGATTGTGATGGCCTGTACGAATGTAAAAGTGATCCGAATCCACGAGTTTGTCCTTCCATTCTGTTGTGTAATAATAGTGTTTCTCGCCCTCTGTTATTTCGCCGAAACTAAAAACAAAGATTTAATACTAATTATGTATACTGCAGTGCAATAGAGTATTTATTTAGCATGGATTTAATAGTAATTTTCAATTAAAGAAAGTTTTTGCTTTCGACAATCAAAATAATCAAGGTTAAATGTCTTTTATTACTACCTCGGTTCTTCCTCAATTTCAATCCATTGGTACATTTGAACTCTCCTCTTTAGTTTCACGCTTGACATGACAATTCCGTAATCTGGCTCTGTTAACGGTTCGGAGACTAATAAAGGACCCGATAGATGTATCAAGCGGCCCTCATATTCAGGCGATGGCATCATTGAATTAGGAAGCACAATAATATTATGTAAAGCCTCATCCAAGGAATGTGCTACTTTCACGGCTCTTCCCTAAAAAGACGCGAAATGCTATAAAAAATGTTTATCTACAATTTAATTATGACAATTAATATTGAATTTTTTAAATGTCTTTCTTTCCCTTCTTAAACGAGTTGGTCATATGACAAAAAGTACCATCCGCAAAGTACCTCATTCCAAAATAGAAGACACATTCCAGTGGCAAACATAATAGACCCGATTATCGCTGTCAGCCACGACTGCCTGAATTGCTCCGAGATCGTCATCGGCATTTGATTCACAGAGCCGGCTTGTCTTCCATTCAGACAATTCTGACGAAGTCTGTCTACGTTTCCTCTTTGCTGGCCATTCTGCTACAAAGCGTACGCTCCGAGAGTCTATCTTTGTTCTGTTCGTCTCAATAATTAACATAAAGCAAGAATAATGTTCTTATATATAAGGCAAAGGGAATATACTTACATTCATGCGATACATTCCGACACCCACCGACGCCAGTCGTATTCTGGAGTTCAGCTGATGACAAGCGTGATGTTTTACAATTTAGTGGAGATTTAAACCAGAGCTTAGCGAAGATTCAAACCCATTTAGCAAAGACTCGAACCCCACATAATTAAACTTGATTTTGTCGGCAATAAAAATTTCTGTAAACAGTACTATAAAGTTTGAGGTTATAACCATAGTAACTGAGACGTTTGTTTTGTTCTGAAATATTTATTTAAACAAGAGAAAAGAAGTTCTATTATTTCACAGCATAATGTCAACACGTTTGTGAGTCTCTGCAATATTTAATGCGATAATTAGATAACAATAATCTTGATAAATAAACTTTAGAAAAGCGATTGATAACTCTAACTTTATTTTAATTCATTAATTATTAGAGTCCAACCGAAACTTTTACCGAAATTGAAAACGAATACTCATTATGTGTCAGTTTCGGACTGTGGACTGAAACCATTTAGCTTTTCTTCATAAATATTAATTTTAATATGTGTAATTATTACAGTCATGATCAGTTATAACGACTATAGATGCCTTCAAAACTGTACAATATTTTATAAGTTTATGACTCGAATGTACGATATTTGTTATAAGAATTGTGAACATGTTGGAGACATGGGCTGAAGAATTTTTTCAACCCAGCTATGCAACTTGGACGATTGCTCAGGGTCTCATACTCTAACTTGTTGAACATTGTCCGATGCGTTTCAGATGTTGGCGATGTGATACTGTTGCAATTCGTGAATTCGTTTTAGTTTAAATAATTTTAACTCTGATTAGCTGAAGATTACTTAAACCAAGAGTTGAAACGTTTCTAGGTTAAAATTGTCTGTGAATAATTCCGCTTTACTATATAATAACTTGCGTGTTGACTCCTATGGCCTGATTTTTTCGTATTTATGTGTAATTATTGTTTCAATAATTAAATTATGATGTTTATGAAGAATTACTTATATTCTTTGGCCAAAATTGACATACAACCGAAATTTCAGTTTTCCATTTCGGCCAAAATTTAATTTTTTAATAAATCATGATATTTATAAAGAAAACTTATACGATATATGGGCATGTCTATACATGTGGCCTTTATAGGATTCCTATTTTTTAATTTTGGTTTCGGTTTTGGTTGAAATTGACACGTAGCTGAGTGTTTTGGTTTAGTTTCGGTAAAAGTTTCGGTTAGACTCTATTAATTATACTTTATATATTATAAATTATACTTATAAATTACTTGATTCTGATTATATGAGTTTTCACTAATACTCTATTTAGTTATCCTATGTATCAAAGAGGCAATCCACAATTAAGAATTTTCCTACCAAATTTCTGGATGAAGTTAATTGCGCCTATAAATCAGCAGCTTCCAAATATTGTACAGTTTCACTGCTCTATGGAAATGTCCAGATACGACATAAAGAATTATCTGGAGAAAATTTATAACGTCAACGTAATTGAAGTGAGGACAAGAATAGCGATGGGTAGATTTAAGAAGGATCAACTGCAGCATTCAGTCATTAAAGAGGACGACAGGAAAGTGGCCTACGTCATACTGGTTAGATTGCAACTATTCTCTTGCTTCTCTTTATAAAAAAGGATTTAGGATTTTATTAGAAAAAAAAATAACTTTGTTCATTCCTTGTAGCCAAAGGACCAGTCATTTGTGTTTCCTGATATGTTTAAGAACGTAAAAGATGATATTGATAAAGAAACTATGGACATGGCTAAAAAGGACATGCAGGATTTCTTAGGACCTAATAAAGCCCCTGGATTACCTGGTTGGTTTAGGATATAATGTGTACATACATTGTTGCAGTATTTAAGGATTTGTAATCAATAAAACACTTATTACTAGGTAGTATTGTTTAACTTCCTGTACAATTACAATTTTTTAATTACTTACAATCTGAAGAATTTTTCTATAATCTCTTATTATATAATTAACGCTAAAATTTTGATTAGAAATCTATTTTTTAAATATATACTTTATATAAAATAATTTTTATTACAAAATTAAATTAACAAATTATATAAAAATTAAAAACAAATAAAAGGCGAAGTAAGAGTCAAACCCAATAAAAATACAGTTTGAAATTGGTGAACATAATAAATTAAGTTAAAATCAGTCTGTATATAATTATAAAATATTTAATTAAATTAAATAACGATTAAATTAAATAACGAATTAAATAATTAAATTAAATTAAATATCGATTTATAATAATTATATAAAAATTAAAACATTAAATTATAAATGGTGGTTTTCCGTTAATTGCAGCTAATACTTTTTCGTTTCTCAACATTGTCGTATGATTACCTTCAACGTAATGTACCTTCACTACGTTTTGAGTTATCTTAAATAATTGCATACTAAATTAATTAAAAGTTTTGATAATTTGACTTATTCAATACAGATTAATGCATTTTTTTAAATACCTTATACAAACCATAATCCTCTTCAATCGATGGTATATTCAACGGGTGTGTAGGTTTTAGCAAAATTATGGAAGATTTAATAGGTGTCAAAGTAGAAGGATCATATCCTTGGAGAGCGGATAAATGTTTGTAAATCGTTGTACACAGCGTCTTTAAATTTGCAAGTGAAAGTGGTGCTTTTATAACTAAGAACTGTTTGGCGAAAATATTATATCTTTCGTTCCAAGTGTTACAGTTCTTCAATTCCATTAGAATCTATCAAATTATATATTTCGTTTTTATATATAAGACCAAAGGAAAGAACAAAAAATTGATAACAATTCACATAAAAAAATAAAATCATATTAGAAATGTAACATAAATTAATTTAATATAAGTCTAAGATGAAAATTATACCTTTTCACTATTTCCTGGTGAATAAATTTCCATAATATGAGTTAGAACGTAAATCTGGAGGTCTAACTCGGAACTTGGCATATAATATTTGTATATCGTTCGTATTTGTTCAGGAGCGCCATCGATAAGAATCACTCGGCCTTTCAAATTCATAGCCTCCAATCTTCTTGTTAACTCAATTGCGATAATAGATCCGAAGGAGAATCCTACCATTACAAAATCTTTCCCATTTCTCAGTTTTGGTATTATGTACTGTAAATACATGAAAATAATCAATGTGTATTTTATGCCCCTCAAATAAGAACAATATATTCGTCAATATAACACGAATTATTGATATAGTTCAGTACCTTCATGAGACAATCAGTTTTCTCTAATATAATGTTTGTAGGAGCATCAATGTTGCTTGTGTTATAATGGAAGGACGTTGCTGAAAATAAAATATTTGGTGCTAAATGATTAAATGTAGTTCCACATCCGTCGACACCCGGTATAAGAAATACTTCAGTTGTAGTTCCCTGTCTTTTAGTTGAAAGAGTGGAACAAATTTGTGAAATAAAGTCTTCATTTTTTATACCAAAAATTAAATATGCTAAATATTGTGGCATCTCTGTGTTGAGTTTCTTTCTATCATTCATATTTTTATCACTGATGTTTGTGGATGTTTCAATGAGTTTTGCAAAAGTAAGATTTCGTATCTCTTGCAATGTGAAAAAAATATCAAACTCTCGTTCCAGAGTTTGCTTGATTTCAACGATCATCATGGAGTCCATTCCAAGTTCGGCCAGAGATGAAGTTTGACTTACAACTTTCATGTCACGTATGTCTGTAGTATAAAATAGATTATTATGATTTTTTTTACTGTCCCATATCATTCATAAATTGGTTTTGTAAAAAATATATGCATAAGGAACACCTACCTAAAATATTAGCGACAGTTTCTATCAGATTGCTAAATCCGGAAGACCTTGTTTTCTTCTTAGCTATAACCATGCTACTCACAATCGGTCGGCTTTGAAGTAAAAACTTATCGAGCTCGTCGAGACAGCAGGATACCTTCTGTGGTAAGGTGCCATCGATAATTAATTCCTTATTGTCTTCGTGCATGTCAGCGACGAGACCTACGTCACCTACAATTCCCCACTGAATCGCCAATCCAGGTAACCCTTCCTTCACCCTCTTTTCGCAAATTCTCTCCATGATGGAGTTGGCCATGCCATAATTAGTCTGTCCAGCGTTTCCTCTGCCGCAGGAAACGGAAGAGAACACTACGAAATGACGTAAATTAAGGCAGATTTTTCTAGAAAGTTTGTCCAATGTTTGAGTTGCTCGAGCCTTTGATAAGAAGGATTCCGCGAAAGTTTCTGCGGTTTGATTCTTCAAGAAGCTGTCCTTTAGCACCATACCGAGATTGAATATTGCATCCACCGGCGCTTCTTTTTCCACGCTTCGTAAGAGACATTCACAGTCTTTGGTGTCAGCAACATTGATATTTTTGATGATTAGAACTTTTACACCATATGATTTCCACAGTCGAACTTTCGCGCGCTGGTAACCGTTTTTTATTCCAGTTCGTGAAATTAAAACGACGTTTCTGGCGCCGCGAAGTATAAGCCAGTCGGTTAATTCTAATCCAAATCCACCTAGACCTCCTAGTACAATGTAACTTCTATCTCTGAGACAATAATAGCGACGGTACGCGAGAATGTGCTTATCTAAAGGTTCATTCTTTTCATGGATATTTATAATTATCTATAAAAAGATTATATTATATATAGAGTGCATATTATATGTGATAGAAGTTTAGATTTAGATAAAACTATATTATATGTAAATAACTCTATCTGCTACTATTAATTAGTACAGGCATACCTTTCCTATATGTTTTCCACTCGCCATATACCTAAAAGCTTCTTTGATATCGGTTTTTGGAAAAATTTTTACTTGAATTGGTTTGATTGTTCCATTTTCAAGACCATCAGCTACCATTTTGCACAATAATGATTTATACTTGCGATCGTCAGTGAGTACATTCTCCAATATAATTCCATGAAAACTGATACCTTTTTGAAACGCAGACATATCTAAGGGATTATTAGAAACAAGATCAAATTTGCCAATCTCTAAGAATCGTCCATTTTGAGCTAAACACCGAACGGAGGCGATTAATTTTTCTTCCGCCAATGAATTTAACACGATGTCAACTCCGCGACCTTTCGTTTGCTGCATTATCATTTGTTCAAAACTAGTATCTCGAGAATTTCCAATATGTTCGTCCAAAATAGTCGGAAACAATTTTTTAATAAAATCCCGTTTATCACTCGTGCCCACGGTAGTAAACACCTCACATTCTTCTTTGAGAGCGAGATGAATAGCTGCTTGTCCAACGCCTCCAGTACCAGAATGTATAAGTATTGTATCACCTTTTTTTATTTTCCCATAAACATATAAAGCTAAATAAACGGTGCTGTAAACCGTTGGGATTGTCGCAGCCTCCTCGAATGTCCACGCATCGGGTATGTACCAATAAAGATCATCATCTTTCTCAACGACGTTTGCTATGCAACTAAAAGGAATAATTTTAATTCAGTTTCAATTTTATGATATTGCACAACGTACTAATTTTATAAAGTATTATTTACTCAGTTCCACGAATTCCCATTACACGTTGCCTGTTAGAATCCCATCCTACGTATTCCATTCCAATAGGAAAATATTGATCTAACCGTCCTTTCAAAAGCGTTCGAGTAAATATTAATTTACCAGTCGTAAGCAATACATCTTTGAAATTCAGAGATGAATAAACAACATTCACTAAATTCTCACGACGAGACTCAACTGATATATTGTTCTCTACCCAATGAATTGTACTTAGATCACCACAAACCTATAAACAATTTTTCATATCACAACATATATGTCACATATATATAACAAAATGTACAAATAGAAACAGCGTGACAGTATTAAAAAGATGAGATAAATAATATTATTTGTGTACAATGATAGCAACCAATATGTTTTGAAAAGATTTATGTGTACCAATTGACGGACATGAGCGGTAGGTACAGGTCTAGCTTCGGATTGTGCTAATTTCAAATGTCTGTACGATCCCCAAGTTTTATTAAGTCGCAATACATTAATGGTCATATCTTTTTGTAATTGCTGTAGATAGAAGGGATCATCAAGAGAGAATTTAGGAGCTTTCTCATCTTGAAGGAGCACACCTCTAACAAGTTTTCCGCCTGGCTCTTTTCTCAAGCAATTAATAAAACCCAATAAACCGCATTCAAAATCTCCCTCTCCGACAATTATAATTCTATTATTCTCATCGAGCTTGTTCTCATCGTTCACCAGCGGCTTTAGATTCTCCAGCCAATTGAAGTTATCATTACTTATGTGGACAACAATCCTTTTTTCTATCAAAATTTTCTTCTTCAGAAGTACAATCATTTCTTCATCAGTGCACTTTTCAAGAACAACATTTAATTCGTACTGTTGTAAATGTTTCGTATAGTCGATCACGCCATATTTTTCACGCGTCAATAGGAAACCACCTTCTCTCAAAAATGGCAATAGTTGCTTTAACGATTCATATGGTTTGGTCAAAAGGTTGAATCCAGCAACAATTAAAGCTTCGTCATCTGAAAATGATTTTTCAGAACCTCTGATTGAAAAGTTTTGCGATAAATCTTCTGCACTAAAACGATTCGGTGATGTTAATAGAGTGATACTCGTTTGTATTAACGGCATATCATCAAATGCCTCAAGCAGCAGCGAAGATGAGAGATATTCTAATGCAACATCATCTTCATTTTTCACTAGTTCCACAACTTTCACATTGATAATTTGATGATCTTCCAGAGCGAGTTGTGCTGATATCCGAATTGCTTCGTTTAAAGAAATTTTAGCGCGATCACAATGAGTTACAAATGTATATTCCTCAAGAACAGCATCTTGAGCTAAATTCCGGCGATTGATTTGAGTGGTTTTAAGACCTCGTATCTCTATTCCACCAGCTTTAATCGTGTCTATTTCTTTGTATATTTGTATCGGTAATGCTGCAATAATATAAAATAGTACACTTTATGCCAGAGATTTTTTATACGATATTTATGTATTGAACAAATAACTCTCAGTAATTGAAGAACAATTACGTTTATCAATGTCTGTTGTAACTTCTCCACTATCCGTGATATTCTGTAGCTTGCAAGCGTGAAGCATTGGATTGATCACTATTTTTTGAATACTCGTAGGAACATACAGATCTCTAGTATCATATCCGATAAGTTTCATCTGTAACATAGAGTCCATAAATGTTACCCAATTATTTCTCCAAATGATGTGTCCTTTTTGGCTCGATATAGATGCACTCTTCAATCCACGAAACCAGCCGCTGTACTGATATCCACGCAATTTCAGTTCCTTGTAGATATCACGTGTGGTCATGAGTTCGTCTTCAT